CACAAAAGGCCCGGGGCGAGGAAAAAGCTTGGCACGAAATCCAAGAAACGTTAATTTAACAACTAAAAACAATCACGCGGACATTCATTCATATTCATGGAGCCGCCGCGGGCAGCGGGCAGCTACTAATGAAGCTGGGATGTATTAGACTGTCTGGCCAATGGGCATGCTGGACCTCTACTGGGCATCTGCGGTACTGACCATCTCCCAACACAGATGATACTCTTTGGCCAACTCTAGTACTAGTCTGTAAAAGAATTGTGGTACTGGTGAATACAGGTGATTCTAATTTTCCTCAGCATTTTTAAGTTCTATCCAACATCGAAAATACAGTTACTTAACTTCCTGGGAATATGTGGTAAAACCCTAAGGTGCCTGTGGTACTGGTCATACCAGGACAGATCGGAGCTAGGGAGTTACATGACCTGAGGGTACATATTCCATCTGTATGGATCACCTGGAACCAGTTTTCGATTCAAATAGGCTACCATATTTTACTGTTTACTTACCATAGTTGAATAAGTTCTAAAAGAGTGAAATAATTTGTATCATAAAACTCGTCAAAACCTTAACATGAAAATGGAATGTATTTTATTTGTATTTTCCATAGTCAAAAGTGATTCATGGACTCCCCATTGGCCCACGTTGTATAATCTCTCATGATCTTCTCTCATCTCCGTTCATCACAAAAAGTATTTGCGTTAGGCCAACAGAGCAAACCATTAAATCACAAATTTCCAAACGCCTGTCGTAAAATATCGTGTGAATATAAAAAAAAAAAAATTGAAACAAAAAAAATAAATTTACATAGGTTCTGTAGGCCTAAAACACATTCTTATATCATAATTATATTTACTACCCAATAATCTCAATAAATGATAGGGTGACCATGAATTCAATGCAAACCTCTTCTCACACGAAACTAGCAAATTAATCAAGGATGAATTTCTGATTAAGTTGACAAGTCAAATTTCAACACTAATTATCCACCAGATGTTACACCGCGGCTGGGGAAGAGCTGATCAGAGTCTTGTCAGGTCCAATATCTTGTCCCATTTGCCGGTTGGGGTAAAATTCCCCTAAAACCCCCAAATGAGATCACGTCTTCATCTCACGAGAGATTGAACGAGAGTCAAATACACGCTAACGAAGGCGCTTGTACTCGGCTTTTAGCACTTCCCACACCTGGAGAATATTTCCTTAAATTTTACTCGAGGTCGAATCTGAACGTTTTCGTTGAGTTTTGTTTTCTTACATTAGATTTTATGAACCATTCATAGGGAATGGTTAAACATATACGGATGTCAGGGTTTAATCAATATGATTTGAAAATAGTAAATTAATTTGAAAACACACAAGATTTTTAAAATTACAGTTAATGAAAGAGAACTTTGTTATATTTATTTGACTTTTATAAAACCGGTTTAGAATCGCTATATGATCTGAATAGTTTTAAGTAGTTCGATATGGAGGTAATTTTATTTTCGAGAATTGGAAATGGAATATTTGAATATAACAAACCTCTAATACATACCAATAAAACAATTTTACATAGCAACTATTGTCAATTATAACATATTTAAGTCGATAGTTCCATAATTGTAACAAATTTACAGCTAACCTACCCTAAGATACGATAGATGGAACCTTTTCTACAATATTCAATAAATTTTCAAGTAGATTTTTTTCAAGAAACATAGAGTAACATGATTCTGTCCATAAACATGAAGCTCTGCAGACTCACTATTGTTTAAGACCGCGGAGTTAGCTTTCTGGCTCATTAGTTGGGATACTCAAGTTAAAGGATCTCGTCCAGCTCGTAAGCTTACCCTGAGAAAATAAACAATAAATTCTAAAGACGCGCTCCAAGTGGCAACGATCCATATTTGCTCCAATCCTGCAGTAAATAAATGTCAACCTTCCAACAACAATCTCTTACGAGATCCGTCTCTTCTCTTCACCTCTGTTACTCGTGCTTACATGATTTTGTCTGAAAAACTCTTAGTTTTGGCAGTGAATTATTTTTAAAACCTATTGTATGTTTGAGTTGAAATTCAGTAACCTGGATCGGTCGTTTTTAGCGTAAAATTGAAGCAATAAGGAAATAGCAAAACATATATTTCCTAACATATAAGATTGTTTTAACTGCACGTTGGCCATTTACGCAAGATTTATTCGTAAAGACGTCAAAACAATTTTTGGCTCTTTAACTGTGTTATACCTTAAACCCTTCTTAAAACAGAGAGGATACAAATCACAGTGTAAGCATTCCGCTTTTATGTTAATAAAATTTTTATTAAAAAGATATCAGCCCAGTGTCTTAAACAAAAGAATTGTCGCTAGTTTTTTTAGTTTAAGGCCAGAAATTTGCACTGTTTTATCATTTCAGTCCAGTCACTATTGGATTAAATATGATATAGTGTAACAGTAATGAAATAAAAATTATAAACATTATCTAGGTTACTCCACAGATCAGACAGAAGTCTTAAATGGCTTTTAAACAATGTTTTAAAACTACTCGCCACGAATACCTTTTTATACCATATATTAGGGATAGATTTTACGGTACTTACGTAGAGGTGGCTGTGATTATACCGCCCACACCGATAAATTGACTAAGTGTATACAACAGAATGTTCCTTACCTAACCTAAAACATAGCCCACCCTTAGGTTAGGTTAGGTTAGATTATAATTATTAGGTGTGGTCGGTAAAATACGTAAGTACCGTTTTTACAACCTTTCATTATATTTAAAAATAAGTCATGCTATGTTTGAACTAAAAATCCAAACTAAATCCAAAATAATTTGACGGATAAATCCTTTTAACTTGAAACACAACGAATAACCATATGACTTTATGTCCGTCTCGGGATAAAATTAGGGTCAAGCCAATCTCAGTGACCCGTCAGACATAAACTTGAGCACAACTGACCTAACTCAAGCCCAATCCCAGCCCTGGCCATAAACACAGAGTAATTAGTCCAATGTTATACGAGCGGGCGTTACCCGAAGTGAAATACACACAGACGTATGTAGTGACGTCAATCACCTAGTGACGTACCAGCATGGACTAATCACAGTTGAAATGTTGTATATTTAGGTTAGATTTGATTTACTTAAATTTATTAGTGTAGTATACACAGTATGAGTGACAAAACATTTTTTAAATTTATATTCAGTGAATTGCGCAGATATAACGAGATTTTTAAGTTATGGAGTTGTAATTATTAATCAATATTATGTCAAGCGCTGCGGTGGACTCGCTCCCACTCCTCCTCAGATAAGGAATTAATTTAAAATAAGGAATTAATATAAATAAAAGGTACTTTTCAGTACTAAACTATGGGTAAATTTTTATACATAGATTTTTAAGTAATTGATGTTAAACAACACTGTTATATTTATTTCTTATAGCCATTTCTTATGCTAAAATCAATATAGGTTGCATCAATATTGTTCACGAAAATACCTAAATATTTTGAATATCCTGGAGCTAATGGCAATAGGTTCTATATTGTAATTTGTTCTCAATTCATGTCTACATAAGATATTGTTACGCAAAAAACAGTGATATTTCACACACCTCAGGAAATTCACACCAAAATAGAAAAATAACCACAATGAATCTCTGTTTAGATATTAATGGATTCCTTTCTCCACTTCACAACTCTCAAGACCCTCAAAATGCTACACTTTCAACACTCATGAGCGTCTCCTTTCTCAAATCCATAATCAACTTCACTTTCCTTCGTCCTTCTCCAAACTCTTTAAAGCATTAAATGGATATCCCAAGTGTACCTATGCGGCACGTCGAGGTGCCACGTATGAGGGCGCCCCTAGCCTCGCCAGACCATAACCCTAATTAATACCATGAGTTACTGCGCGCATGCGTGCTTGTGTGCGTGTGTCGGTGATGAGCGATCGCGCCATTACAGCAATTGATGAGGGAATCGGATCCCCGGAGGAATCACGTGGTGAAAAATCGCGACCGGACGGTTCACTGCACGCTTTTCGGAACGTCCGTGCGTCCGAGGATGAAGCGATTAATATACCAACACGCGATACGGTAATTTGAAATTGGAAATAATCGTTGAGGTTAAATTATGGAGTATTGTCGTATTCGTGTGTTGTTTGACACGAATATATTACTGAGAAAGCAGTTTGAAGTCTAATGATGCATAGCTTCATGACCTGTATTGTTTCTTTATTCTTGCCCTCGTGCGGCAGAGTCGTATACCTAAAAATATAGTACAGTTGAACGTAGGATTGTATAATAGTTTTTGAATGAAACGCAAACTAATTTTCATGATTGAAAACACTAATATTTAATTCTAAACTAGATCTTTCAAACCAATTTCTTAACTTCTTCTTCGTGCTAACTGTTTTGGCATTTTCAGGTATTTTTAAATGAGGCTATCCAAACCCAGGTCCAGTACCTATCTAACGTCAACAATCTCTTTTCAAAATAGGCTATATATTTTATAAGGAATTAGCAATACGTATTTTTTGCCATAACCCAAAACCTTATACAACTTCTGCAAAGTTCCGTACAGTAACACACAGTTGTTAATGTAAATTTTGCCAAGCATTACCCTTTGAGCCCATAAGTTCTTTATATTCAATAGTGATGGTAAATTCGTAATTAAAAAATAAATAAATTATGTATACAAGATGTTAGTCGGATAACCTTGTAGTGGTAGTGCTGGTTGTCGGCCGGGGATCGACATCTGTCGTAATGTCTCTAGATGACTCAGTTAGCAAACGACTGCACGACATGCAAAGCCTTCAACTTATCATATTCTATTAGGGTAGTTCGCTGACAAACTTTCCTTTTAGCAGTCATAAGACATTAATAGACTGTAACTAACTATGGTTTATATTCACTATGTGTTCTAAGAATTACATTTTTATGCATTTTATTTTTGTTTTCAGTTAACTAAAATTTGCTGTATTACTATGCAATGAACATAAATTCTACATTTTTCTGTTTTCGTTTCAGTTTGGAAGAGCTACTGGAGGATTTGAGTCCTGTGTCAGTGAAAATGACTGCCTGATGGTGAGTACAGAATTAAAAAAACAACTTACATTTATACTTCAAACTTTTATCGCTAAATTAGTGTATTTCTTTACGATATAAGTATAATAAGTTATATCATAAACAAAACCTCTTCGCTTATAGATTTATTATAACGGATCAGCTGAAAACAGTTTTAATAGTTCTCCCTGGTCATTAGTAGTTTTGTTTTCACTCAATGTTATTGATATTTAACCGATTTAAACAGAATATTACGAGATATTTTTAAACTCAACTTGTACTTTGATACCAAAGGGTCAATATCAAACCCTAAGATCTACCCTCAAAGTAGAATAAAAACAACAAAAAAAAATTCAGTCTTTGCACTCAACGTCACCAAGACTCGTCAAAACTAACTTCAGATTTTACAATAAGACGATATTTCTTCTTGCATTTGTCAAAGTTAATAGTTATACCATAGATAAAACATACTAGTCTATGGTTATATTTTACACTACCAATCAACCACTCAAATACTTTTCCGTTTCGCCTCATAACACACAATGATGCACGAAAGTAAATAACTCCCGCCGTAAATTTCCCTCCAAAATCGCACCCAGTTTCCCCAGGCGGGAACATCTTAGCGCCGTCGCTGTGGGTGTAACAGACATCAGACCTGATTACCATAGGCTTGTCACGCTAGAAAAACATGGAGGTAATAAATTGTTAAAACTGTAAATGCTGGCCGATAGAGCGGTGATTTAGGCGAAGCGGTCCCGATTTCGCAATTTATAATTCAAACTAATTATATCGAATGGACGAGCGACCATAGTAATAATCTGCATAATTTATTCGTAACGCTCGATCTGCATTGCCGACGGTCGAGTTTTATTGTAAGGTAATTGGTCGGTAATATTGTTACATACTTGTGGCCGTTCCTGAAAGCACTCGCATTAGCGATTCTCGTTACAAACATCTTCACGTTGCCTGAGGGCTTGGGGAAGTAAGCAGAAGTGTAAACATACTAGATGTACATTAATGGAAAGTATGGGTGTGACGCATACATAGTAGATAGTGTAATGTGTTATACAAGACCTTTTATTTTATTTTTTATTTTATTTTATTTTCTTTTATTATTTTAGTGCTAATGACGTTTGTTTCGTAATGTATACTGAACTTTACAACTCTACGGTACTGACAGAATTGAATGTAGAATCTACGGCTTGTAGGCTACGGATTGTAGGTATTGATCTCTTTTTAGTTAAAAATTATATCGATTTATCGTTAGATAATTTGAAACGTCGTATATCATTTTACTTTTATGTCATCTGTGAAACCACTTTGCTCTTGGTTATGTATGTTTTTCGCAGCACAAAGATTCGTTTCATAAACGTAAGTATTTGCAGATTAAACAACATTTTTTTAACAAATGTGTTGGTTGTATTCAAGTACGACAAACGAAATGATAAAAGATATCTACTTCTAAATGAAGGTGGATAGTAACGATAGTTTAGTCGATGGTAATATAGGCTTATAACAATTTCTTTAGAGCGGTTTTTTTCATTTGACTGCTTGAGAGGTATTAGCAATAAAAACACTACCCTAAATTTTGTTAAGCAACTCGTGGGACATAGATCAGTGTTATACGTAATATATACATGTTTCAACCACAGACGATTTAGCTTTTTATTTTAGGATTTTTTACAGCACTAACTCTTTTAGGGGGATGTAAATTCCATAAACATTTAATTCAAAGGTTTTAGACTGTTAAACGAAACCATCCTTGCCAACAAACATTACACACAACTACATGAAGGGTGTGTTACAATCAGGGGTTTCACGTCCTCCCCTAAACGTTCCTACGTGGTTCTGAATTATTCCCGCAGGAACGTTACATTAGAGGCCACGTTATGGCTTTTAGACTTGCCATACATTGGTAAAATACGGCCTCGGGCACAGCTGTTGCTAATGTTCACTTTCCGACCGCTAACGTTGCTTCCCAACTTCGGTGATGTATCTTGTTTCGGTTTTATTCTGTCTGTAGCAAGAAAACGTTAACATAGTTATGTTATGTTATAGGACTTTTATTATTTTATTAAGTGATACGACAATGCAAAAATCGCAATAATAGAATACAAACAAATAAAACTCAACTTTTCTGTAAATAAGCAAAAATTATTATAGTTTTGTTTAGCTAAATGAAATGAATGAAAATAGTGTTCTTTAGTGTTGTTGGTTTTCTTATTAAATGTTCGATTATGTTTGTAATAAATATAAATTGCGAATTCATACATTAATTGTAAAGGTGCAATGCGTAGATGAGGGTTTATCGGGCTCACCTTCAATCTGAAGGTTGCTGGTTCTATCCTAAACTATGTAGATTCTAGACACAGATGTCATTTTCTGTAGAGCATGCAATGTTAATATCTGACAGATGTTTGACATTAAAATGGTTACGCCACAAGGGTTTGGACCATGCAATAAGGTAAACGCATAAAAAATGCAAGTGGGGTTTAATATTTTCAACTGGGAGTATCTTTGTGGTCACAATTGTAGTCATAGCTGTAGTAAACCTTATTTTACTATGACCTGGACTAAAGCAGCTAACTTAAGGTTACTGACTCGATGACAGGAAGTTTATCTCTTAGAGGGAACACAACAAAGCCCAAATTTCGTGTTCCTCTTCACCATCCAGAGACATTTATATCACTCGTCTATTACGTCCAACTGAGGAGAGGCCAGTCTAAACAAACGCCCGTCGTCCGTAACTGTGGACACAGCCGGGTAAACGAGACAATTATGTTAAACTCGAGACAATGCCAGGCAATGATCATAATTTCGGCTAACTTATGTACTAATTTGTATCCAAATTGAAAACGGCGACAGATTTGTGGGTGTACCGGGATCCCGATGAGCCAAATTGAATACAAACTGCGGTTAATCCGAAGCTGGCTTTGTTTCGGGCGTTCGCCCCGTACGATGCGGCTATGCTAATACAACTGCTTACAAAATTGACTCGGACTTTAATCAGCATAAATTGGGGGACTCTTGTCAATCAATTTCTTAATGACGCCACTCCACCGGGCTAATTTGGTTTTTGGGTCCGAAGATTTTGTGACGGCTCCGAGGCGACTCGACTCAAAATGCAAATGTCCGAACCGGACCTGATACCTCGGGTGCCATTACGAGTTTTTTGAATTTTTGATCACACTTTGACTCCGAAGCTGTTCAATTACATAGATTTTGAATACCGTTCGATCCGTCTCAGAATAGGACCAGGATCTGGAACCTGTTCGACTTTTAGTTTTCTCACAGTCCAAAACAAAATCGTATTAGGCTAAAGTGGAACTGCTTCTAGCTATTGCGTTGTTTTGGTCACTTAAAATGTTTGGTTGAAGCTGTCCTAATTTTAAATGAATGATCTATTATGATCTACACCTATTAAAAATTTTAAACGTAGATTTACCCCTTAAATGAAATTAAATTTTTTGTTTTATACATTTTATTAATTCTCCTGTAATATTTTTAATCTATTGCTTCTTTATTATTGTTATTTAAAAAAAATTAACCATCGAGCACAGTGAACAATATGCTACATAACGACAATACAAAAATCGCAATAATAGAATACAAACAAATAAAATTCCACTTTTCTGTAAATAAGGAAATATCCCTGGGGGATGCACGAAAAACCAATTTCTCTCAAGTATTGAATATTTACTCGAGAGTTGGTTTATAAAATCGTGTTTCCCAGGAATCCTCTGAACCGACTTTCAATCAAATTTCCCTTCCAGATACTCACTTGAAACTTGAATTCTGATTTTGAAAAGTTTGATGAATATTAAGTAAAAATTGTGGATAGATAACTCAATTAACTCGTGGCGTCAAAGAAGCGGAACACCTGTTTGGATCCGGGTAATTAGTTTTTTGCACTAATTGCTCCTCAATGCCGCCGTCGTTGACTTTTAAAGTTCGCGATATTCCTGGGTAATAATGTTAGATTCAGTAGATATACGCAAACAGATAATTTAATATTTACAGGAACAGTTTATTTCTTAAACATTTGGCTGAGTTACTCAGTTTTCATGAAAAGTGATAAATGTATACAAGAAAACAACCTTTACGCAACCTACTTTAATGTCATACTTGTTTATTGGCTTGTATACTTTTTTTCTGTCTAAGTTTTTTTTACATACATAAGTTATTACTAAATTGGTTTTTTAAATATATCTTTCCTCATGTCCAAATCCATATACAAATGAACGCTGGCGAAACAAAACCAAAGAATGAGAAAGGTGTGAAATTAAAAACTGGAGTCTAAAAATGTTAACGATAAATATCCAACCATACGCCACTTTAATATACAACTGTGCTTACTTATTCATTTGCATAAACTTTGATTAATAGTAAATTTGTCATACAATATGTGTTAGTTCTAACTAATAAACTAATATTACTCCAACAACTTCCCACTATGACCAAAGAAACACAAAGAACGCTGTCCAGTCAAACAGAACCAAAGGGTGGAGAGAACCCCTTTGTCCAAGCTGCGATAAATCACAAATACGAAACTATTTACATAATGTTCCGGACCCCATTCGAAACTGAAGACAACCATAAACGCATATATTTCTGTCAGCCCTTTGAAGACCGTGGAAATTATTGAAGGGTGGCGAAAGCGGGTCAAATCAGGCCACAGTCTAGGACCGTTGGGGCTGTGAATGACTGAAGAGGGCCAAGTCCTAAAACAGCTCGAGTCCAGTTGGGTGTAAGCTCTCTGGACTCAAACGTCACGAAAAAGAGCAGTGAGAAATCTGGATCTCGCAAACCTCTAGTCTTCACCTCCAGTCGTGCGAGTTCCTCCTCGCCCAGATAACACTTCGGAGGTCACGGGTGGGCGAACAGGCGACCGGGCGACCAGGCGTGGGGCTGAGCAAAGAATCAAATTGATTGAGAATTAGAATTTACCTAAGCAAGACGAACGGCCAGCATTGTGGCCGAGTCGATTATTTACGGCGCGTCAGATTAATTGGAAATAATGG